CTTTTAAATTAAACTACACATTTATTTAAATTAAAATGCATAACTTGTATTTTCAACAATTAGGAGAACATAAATAAAAATATAATTCAACTACTACATCGAATGATATTTAATTCTAATCTATCTTTTATTTAGTTTCATAATCGCTGCGGATTATTGGCAAGGTCGCTTTCCCGGCCGTCCCGTGGCGCTGGACATGTCCATGACGTACATCTTTGTGGCCTTCATCACGGTTTTGTTTAACAACATTGTGCTCTCATTGGCACCATTCCAGACGCGCGTGCTCTTTGGCTACATGGTGTCCTTTACCACATTGATCTTTGTGGCCGTCTGCGAGGTGGCCTGGCACATGTTTGCCACGAATACGGCGTATGTGGTGAACATGTCGGCTGTGGCACTGACAGCCATTGGCTGCACTGTGCAGCAGTCGAGCTTCTATGGATTCGCCTCGATGCTGCCCAAGCAATACACACAGGCTGTAATGGCTGGCGAGAGCATTGCGGGATTTCTGGTGTCTTCCAATCGCGTGGTCACCAAATTGCTCATCAACAATGATCGCGTCTCGACGGTCATCTTCTTTCTGACATCCACGCTGTACATACTCTTCAGTTACCTGCTGCACTTGGCCACCATCAATTCGCCATTTGTGCGCTTTCACGTTGAGGCGTGCTCCAAGATCGTCTTGCGACCGGATGATGTAAGTGGAAACATAGAAAAAACCCAACATTATTCATAAATTCTCTTTGCAGCAAGAGATCGATGGCGCCACCACCAGCACTAAGTACGGCGTTCTCTCCATGGATGGCACTACGACAACCACATCAGCTGCACCCCATCATTCCAGCGCGAATACAGCCAATACGCTGAGCTTTAGCAATCCTGTCTATGAGCTGTCTAATCCCACGGCTGGCGAGAGCATCATTGAGGGCTTGGGCCAGATGCCCGAGCTGCCAGGCACACCGCATGAGCCGGCCACACCCACAACGGTCGCCTTCAAGGTGGAGCATGTGATAACGCCACGTCGCTGTCGACCCAGCAAGTTGGGCGACATACGGGAGGGATTTGTAACGCGCTGGCGTGTGGCCCAGGTCATCTACCCGTACATGGTGTGCATTGCATTGGCCTACTGTGTGACGCTCTCCCTCTATCCCGGCATCGAGGTGGAGGTCAATTCGTGCTCCCTGCGCACCTGGATGCCTGTCCTGCTGATGTTCTGCTTCAATACTTCGGACGTCATTGGCAAGATACTGGCTGCCAGCCCATATCCCTGGTCGCGTCGTCAGCTGATTCTGTTGTCCGGATTGCGCATTGTGCTGGTGCCGATGTTTCTGCTATGCTGTGCACCGCGACATCGTCCGATCATCTCTGGCGAGACGGCGCCCTTTCTCTTCACCATTGCGCTGGGCATCAGCAACGGCCTGGCAGGCAGCTTGCCGATGATGCTGGCGCCGGCCAAGGTGCCGGGCACCCTCAAGGAAGTCACCGGCAACATAATGACACTATCCTACAATATTGGGCTCACAGCAGGCTCCATGATTGGCTACCTGTTCGAGAACATGTTGGGCCCCCAGCTGGAGAACCCGTGTCCCATGTATCCATATTCGCCACCCACCGGCATGCTGGATCACTACCACGGCCATCTGCCCCCGCTGCTGCCCACCACCAGCTCGACGCTGGCAGCGAACACAACTCTTGCTCCGTTCTTGCTCAACACCACCATGGCCAGCATCAGCAGCACAGAGACAAGCTCCACCAGCGCTGTGTCCGTGCCTGCCCTGGCCACTGTGATCACCACCACGGCTCTGGCCCTCTACACCACGGTAGCAACCACCAGCACGGAGTTGATCAACGCCACGGTCACCACGATGCTGTCGGCGGTCTCCTCATCGGTTGGCGATATGAGTGGAGAGCTTGGAGGCAGCACAACAGATCCCCAAACGCCCGAGGCACTCCTGCAGGAGATCTAAGTTGACCTCCATTTTAAATATTTGTTTGTGCAGACTTGAAAGTATCTACAAGATACATTTTAAATAATCCCTTGGATCTCAGACGATCTGCAAATGATACGACCGAAAAGTCCAAATATATGTGCATATATACATATATTTATGCGAGTGTGGTCTGAAAGCTATACAAACTGAACGACAAGAAGAAGCGGATAGACAAATATGAATTAATATTGTTGATATTTTATGTCGTCAGTTGGTAAACTTGTCAGACAACCCTCGTGAACATACAGTGAAAGTGGGAACGAAAGCAGTTAAGGTGTCTTTCTCTTCAAATGCATGACAAATGCAAATAGATCAGATCGTAAGACATATTATAGAAAATCTATCAAATTATCTCTGTACTTGTTTCAAATACTCGTACTACTAATAGTATTTAAAAAACCTTACTAATTTTGTTAACATATACTCAGACTAAGATCTTCAATATTCAAGTTAATTTCGAGTTAGGTAAGAAAGCCCAGTTAGATAAGAGAACTCTATATGTGTGTGTGCCTGTGTCTGTGTGCGTGTGCATATCTATCTACGTCTCTGCGTGTGTGTGTGTGTCAGTGTGTTTGTGTGCCTATTTATGTACATTAGGTTACGGATAAGCACGGATAATACGGAAATATGCATATTGTTGGTTAAAGATCACGAATATTTTTATAAAGAGCGCTAGACATAATTGTTGTGAGGGCTATATGCATAAAAACATATACATATATAATACATATGAATAACATATATGTGTATATGTATATGAATAATTAATCATTTATGGGCTATGCAGGGCTTTGGGAGTACTTTGATCTCGAAAAATCAACATTTCGAATATAGTTTGCTAATAAATGTGTTGAATGATTAATTATTGATGATGAAATAGTAAATGTTATTTGTTTTTCGAGTGCTAGTTAGCTTTAAGAATACTCAAGCAAAAGTAAAGCACAAAAAAAAAAAAAAAAAACATTCTAACTTTGAAGCTAGCTATAGAGAATCCGTTCCAAAATAGTAACAAATTTCTATGTGTATCTGTATACAAATATGCATACATATGTATATATATATATAACTGTATGTACATATATGTGTTAATATTGATGTGTATATAAGTATATTACGGCCTTAATCTGGTTTGCTCTTTAGTTGCAATTTTATTCCAAATGAAAGTGAAGTTTTCAAAAATATTTTAGCCAAATTTTTAGCAACCATACTTTGACTATATTAAAGTGCGTTTAATTGTAAGAAATATAATAAAAAATATGATGTTAAAGAGACATTTAACAAAATTTCCAACATAGAAGAAAAATAAAATTATGAAAAACCAACAAATTTCTATTTACATAAATTTAATTTGCTTAATTTGCTAACATTTCTTATTGTTGTTAATAATATTTTTATTAAAATTATTTGTATTCTTTAAATTATAAATAAAAATGTTGACATTAAGTAAACAAATATTTTTTATCAGCAAAATTCAAATTGTTTAGGGGAATTCAACGAAAAATTTTTGGCATTTTAGGGAAATAATTACTTGCGAGAATTTCATTAAAATAAGTATTGCGCCTCTCATAGTTTCTATAAATTCCAATAGAGCTATTTGACTAACTATAAAATATGGCCGCCATCTTTTGCGCAATTCAAATATTTTTCTGCTCACTGTGCCGCCATCTTTTAAGAATTTTAGTTCGAAATATTGCCATAAGTCCTGTGGCTATAATTATAAGACGCATAATGGTATAATTGGTTTCTATACCCCTCCTAGGAAATTTTGTTGCGAATGAATTAAACTTCCCTTTTTATGTTGAGGGGCGCGAGTGTAAAATTTTTCGTTCTTATACTATTGCGCAAGTGCGAAAAAGGAAATATACAGTTATTATAAGTGCTGGGCGCGAAATTTAAATATGCTTCGACAAGTGGAAGGTATTTAAAGAGATTTTGTATATTTTTTCGATAAACTAGCGTTCAAAGTAGAATGCCTAGAAAATAATAATCATTTATGCGTAAAAAAAAGAAAAAAAATATAAGAAATGCTATACATAAAGAAAATAATTTATGCTAATTTCTTCTATTAAAAATTGATTTTATTTTCGGTTTTCGTGTACATGAGGCTTTTATTTTCCATTTAAATGTAAAATATTTACGTGTAATTGGAGTTTTGATTTGATTCTAATTGTGTTTTAGATTCGCGCCGGGGCAGGTGTCTGAATAAATTTGCTGTTTGTCTGGGCGCGAATGAATACAAATGAAATAAATTAGGCAGCATCCAGCAGGAGTCCAAGTCGAAGCGGATGCGCAAGGAACCGCGTCAACTCATGCTACACTCAAATTGAAGTGCTATTTAGGTAATTTGATGTTTTGTGCATACGAAACGGGTATGCTGAGTTTGTATGAATGTGTTTGTGTGTTGAGAAGGAATTCGAGAGAGAGAGAGCTGCAGCAATGGGTATCTGACCTTGTATTTGTTTATATTTGATATATTTGCTGCCTTTGCCAAAATGATAATCAATGAATTTTCATTTTCCAATTCGTTTTTCCTCATGTGCAGCCAACAGGCCGAGTCGCAATTAAACTTACTTTGAATGGGAAACAAAACTGGACATTTGCATTCGAGGGCCTTTGGGTGTTTCTTTTTTGGGGCGGACCAGGCAGCCAGCGCTAAGCCAGCAGGCTGAGGTAAATAACTTACCCACTAACAAGGCGGCAGCTCCGAGCCGTGGGCGGGCGTTGCACGTGAAGTTGAAACTTTTATCGATTGGTAAAGTTCGCACATTGCCTACATTTGGGCGCCTTTGACGTCGATGGGTAGCCCCCCATCAAAAAGGTGTTCCATTTATTGGCTGTGTCGGTGTCATTGCCCTCGAGCTGCTGCTGCTGCTGCAGTGCGCCATGTGAGTTTGTAGGTATTTTAATGTGTGCTAAGACTGATATCTATAATGATTATTATAAGTATGTATGTATGTGTATTTGTCAGATATGTGAGATCCGACTCTGGGGCAACTACGTGGATTCCCCTTAGTTGTCCTCGCCATCTTCGCTGCTGGTCATTTGCAGGTCAGTCCAGAGCGTTGCATTGATCAATTCATCTGGAATGGGATTGGGAGGGATTGTACCCTCATCAGCAGCTACGGTCTTAGCTGCATTTGCATCAGTTTCTGCAACTGTAGCTGCATCCGATTCTGCAGAAGACTCGGCATTTGTGTCCGGTCCTGATTCAGTTTCTGATTCGTCAATTTCCACTTCGTCTGCCTTAACTGCATTGGCATTTGGATTCACACCCACTGCTGCATCAGCATCTGATTCTTCATCTGTAACTGATTCATCGTCGGCATCTGCTGCTGCTTCTGCATTTCCATCCGCATCCGCATCTGAACTTGAACCTGAACCTGGACCTGAACCAGAATCTGAATCTGAATCTGCATCCCTGTTTCTAAAGACTTGTACTTTGGAGTTATCTTCCATGGGCTCTTCCACCTCTTCAAGGTCGCTCTCCTCGAATGACTCCTCCTCACTGGTCTCTTCAGGGAGTTTGTTGTAAAATATTTGTGCTACCCTCTTTCTCTCTTCTTGAGTTGTTTTCACCTTGCGTCCCGTCGATAGCTTCTCTTTGAGTTTGTTGGCGCTGGCCTCGAACTCGCTGATCTGGACCTTGGCACGGCTAGCCTTTTCCCTGGTGTAAGACTTGATGCAGTGCTCCACGCTGGTCTCAGCCTTCTTGAGGGCATAGAGCACGTCGGTGACATCGCGTTTCTCCATCTTGTCGCTCGAGCTGGGCTCGGGCGCCGACCTGCTGCCATCGAGCTCGTAGGACCACTGGCAGCTCTGCAAGTAGTGTAGCGAGTCCTGGCCGCAGGTCCTGTGGAAGAGCTCGTGGAAAGCCCTGATGTGGTTGTCGAAGGTCTTGAAGATGCCCGTCACTTCAAAGCGGAACTCCTCGATGGTCTTGAAGTAGAATCTGTCCACTTTTTGCGACAGGGCATCGAACTTGGCCCTGAAGTACTTGCAGATGCTCGGGTCGTCCTCCTTGGAGATCGCAATGTGCAGCTTGGCCAGATGCTCCTGGCACTGCCGCTGCACGACCTCGGAAGCCTTCTCGTAGCCATGCTGCCGGCCCGGGGCCCGCGGGTCCTTGGTGCTGGGCTTCTCCTCGCCCTTGGGCATCTTGTTGATCACGCGATGGAAGAACTTCTCCAGCTTCTGGCAGTTGCGGTAGACCACGTCCCCGGGGCGATTGAACATGAAGCAGTTGCTGATGACCAACTGAAAGTCACTGATCAGATCGTCCACGCGATGGTAGTAGCGATTCTGCACGCGCTTGATGATCGTGCCCACGTCCATCGGCCGCTTTATGACGGCGTAGTAGTTGGGCACCTCCAGAAGCGCCGTGTCCACGGGCTCCATGAAGTCCAGGGCGAACTTCTTAGTGACCACCTCGTCGAGCAGATACTTCCGCAAGTAGTGGATTTTATTGGTGTACATCCCAGCCTCGCCTGGCTCCGGCATCACCTCCGGCTGCACTCGAGTCGGATTCTTGGCCTGCAGAAAAAAAAAAAATCAGATTGGGGAAAATTTGATAATATTTCAATTTCATGAACTCACCATTTCAAGTAAATGGAAATTCCTGGAAATTCAATGCTATTTGAAAGCGAGATCTGGCTGCTTGAAGTGAACTTGAGCTACTGAGAAATAATTTAGCAGCTGCGAAAGTCAAGGAGTGCTAGACGAATCAAGTTGTGCTTTGGCCAAGACTATCGATAAGCGGGCGATGCAACACTGGACGTAGACAGTTCCTGCTGTAAGTACATGCACGCTATGCTAAGCCTCTATAGCTATAACCATATGAAGCGAATATTAATAAGCAATAAAAATGATACATATATAGATAGATAATAGTAGTGGGATGAAGTGAAAAGAAGCTTTGGGATATATATGGATATATATAGTTGCATCGATAGTTTCAGTAGCTATATTCAGAGATTTTCAGTGTTGTTAGCTAATACGATTCAAGTTTGAAGCTTGAATTGACAGCTTACGGAACAACAACAAATGGATAGAAATATTTACATGTTTTTTTTTATCACATTTACTTAACGTATCAGAACTCGGGGACATTTGGAATTCATAAAAAGACAAGGGGGGTCGAGGCTTGGAGCGTCATGTGCGTCACGGTCCTTGAGTCGCATTGAGCCCTAAGTAGTGTCAGCCACGCGTAGAGCAGGAGGAGAAGGAGGAGGAGCGCATTTAGAAAATTCACGTCCTTGACTGGGTACAGCTATGCCGCTGGTCGAGAATAATTGTTTGTCTAACTGGTTAGTCTTGCGGCTAGAGGACTCCTACAGGATATCCACTTACATGTTACTCTATGCAGTGTTTCAGCTGGACGCCAGCTTTCCTGAATCTGGATTTGTGTATTGGTAGCGGCGCCAAAATTATGGGAATCGTAAGCGAATGGATGCTTGGCCTAGAAGCAATAGATGCAAATTAGCTGTAAACTAAGAAACAGTCACACTTTGTGTTTCATCACTTTTGTTAAGCTCATTCTACTGCTCATGGAATAAACTATTTACTAATTTCGCCTTTGATTCCCAGTTTTAATCGCGCATTGATGCGGGCGCAGGCATTGCATTGCTTAATAATATGCATCGACAACAACAATTACAGCGATTAGAGCGGTTAAGTTGGGGCTACGGCGGGTTGTTGTGTTGCTGTGCAATTACATGACAGCAGCGATAGCAGAAATTGCAAAAGCAACAGCAACAACAACAGCAACAACAACAAGAACATTACGAATTACGATAATAATTTCCATTTCTAATTTCCTCACCATGCCAAAGGACTTTGCTGTTGCCAACTACCAGGAGGACCTGCTGCTGCTGCTGCTGCCTCCTCCGCCTTCTTGGCCATGTTTCCGGTAGCAACAGCAACAAGCAATAACCCCAATAGTACAAACAACAACAACAACAACAACAACAACATCGACGGCAGCAGCAAAAGTAGAAGGACGCGCCAGACGTTGGCATAATTCCAGAGCTACAGAAATCTAACAAAATGCAAATGCAATCATTGATTTTTCAGCTTATAAACGAAATGTGCATCGCATGTATTTGTTTGTACTGAACATTGGCCCAATTGTTCCAATTAAAGGAACTATAACAAGGCCTACCAGAAAGGCAGACAACATTAATCTAGGGTATTCTTGTAAGGGCAAAAATTATATATAAATAATAAAATGATGAGAAAAAATATATATGAAATAAATTGTTCATGCTTTAAACAATATGAGAAAAATATAAATAAAATATTAAATTAAAATATATAAAATATTAAATTAAAATATATAAAATATTAAATTAAAATATTATATAAATTATAGTAAAAGTATAAAATTAAATAAAATAATGATGCTTACCTCGTTTATACGTTTTTTTATGCCACTATGTTCAATCTCAACTTTCGCTTGACAATTTCAGCTTTGTGTGTGTGTGTGTGTATGAAAAATCATTAGACACTTCCATTTATACTCCGCTTCACCCTTTTTTTCTACGTTCCGCCATCGCTTCATCCTCTCCTCACGATTTCACAAGCTCAACTAAAATCGAATTGCAATGTGCAGCTCTATTTATACTGCTTTGGCTCTAGTTATGCGATCATGCATGCATGATCTCCAGGTACAACGTCACACTCCAGAGCAGCCAACCGCTCTCACAGACTCAACTAAAGCCTACTTGCTGGCTCTTCTGCTTGCGATCTTCAGCTTAAATGTTCTCACCAACACAAACGCACACACACCAACAACAGAAGAGAACTGTCGCGCTGCGCTGCTCTTTAAAGGCTTAACTAAAATGTATTTGTAGTGGGCGGCTTTATTTATACTGCTGTCTCCTCTCCTTTACATACTCTCCTGATCTGCATATTACACTCTTCGCTCCGTTACTCAGCTTAAGCTGAAAGTGCGGTTCAAATTGCAGCCGTTGACTCTTCTACTATACTCTTCACTCATACACTCAGCAGCAAGTGGCTCTCATACAAACACATTACAAGCTCACACACACGTCGGCGTATATATGTAGGTATGCGATGCGCTTGCTATCGCTGCTAAATGTTAATGGGGTGTTCTGTTTAGCCAGCTCTAGCGTTAATAATAGATGTGTAATAACAATTAAACTACGATATACAAAAGCATCCTAAGCCCGATCTGGAAATACGCCCTAGAAATATACGGCATTGCATCCAAATCAAACTTGGAAAAAATTAGAGTCGCCCAAGCAAAGATCCTGAGGCGAATCTGCGATGCCCCATGGTACATGAGGACTCGAGACATCGAAAAGGATCTAAAGGTTCCAAAGGTGGGAGATGTCCTACAATCACGTTCCGCAAGGTATATAGAACGCCTTGACAGCCACAGCAACGTACTAGCCAGACGGCTAACTGCCAAGCCGAGGAAGAGACGACTCAAGAAGTGCCACCCAACGGACTTGCCCAAAAGAGTGATAACATAATTAAATATAAAAGAAAAATATTTCACTAAACAAAACTATATTAATATAATATAAATAGTAATGTTAAAGTAATATTAAAAATTAACACATAAATATATAATCTAAGTCTAGATCTTTTTGTTATTATTTTTAATGTAGAACTAGATTAAGTTGCCATTATGGTAGCAGTAAGCTTGTTAATAAAATATAAAAATTTTTACAAAAAAAAAAAT